CCTGCCGTAAATAAGAGGAAGAGCAGAAAACCCTTTCATCAGTAGCCAGTCATTAAATCAGGTACTTGTATTAGCAACCACACCCCAACGAGGGGCAGACAAAAGGAAATAACCCTCCGTTTTCCTTGTATCAGCCATAAACCTGAGAGAAATCAGACATGAAATATTTCCTTACCTATTCCCACAGTTGACTTACTTGAAATCAGTGAGTAAGTTCCCAGCCCTGTGTTTCTTCTTTACTTGTGCCAGCAGAAATTTCCACGGAGCCAGGCTATTAACTATCCTCGTAACTCTCCCCCAGCTATTAAGCCAGCCATGAGTAATGCAGAAGAAACAAACCAAACAGCACTCACTTTTCACTTAGGTTGTGCCAGAAAAAGGTTGAGATCAGACAAATCTTTAAAAGAAAAGAAACTCTTTAAAAGGAAAATGTCTTTGCAGTATAAAGTCTTATTCAACTCCATTTAAAACAATGAAATGAGAGCAATATGAACTAATTCATCTCAACTGGGGATAATGTCATTAATTAGTTATGGTAATTCAATTACATAGGAAGCAAGATGAATTCTGATAATGCTGGCATGCAGGATAGGACAAGAAATGCTCCAAGAACCCTGTCAGAAATGAACGAATTCATATGATGAGAAACAGAAGACAAAGGAATTACCACCACTGGCTTGATCTGTGGCCCAGTCTAGTGTCTGTCGCACATGACATAAGCACACAAATCTTCAGAGGGTGAAAAAACCCCAAATAAATGAAAACAGAAAGGTATGTTGGAGGGTAAATCTACCGCCACAAACTACCTAAATGGTTTGAAACTCCCCTAAACAAAAAGATGTCTTACAGTCTTTATAATCTTTATTAGCAATAACTACTGGATATGGATCATTTGTAAGCCAACTAGTTGCTTGTTTTACCCTTGAATTCTTCTCTTAATCCCTCCAATGCCTGAGTTCCACTACATAATTATACATAGAAGGTTAACTGGCTTAAAATGGATAAAGAAGCAGTAGATATGCTAGACCTTGGCTTTAATCAGACTTCTGATGCTGTTGCTAGAAAGGAATGTATCTAATACCATAAGCTGGGAGTGAAGTCAGAGGAAAATTCACTCCATTGTATTATCAGTATAATATTGTCAAAATAGAAATGCATTTCAAATACACTTAAAATGGTGGCAAAAGAAGCAGAATCAGAGATTATGAAAAGTTCACAAAAGGTACTTTTCCTTCTCCAGTCTGATGAAACCAAAGGGAACCCCAGACCACTTCCCCTCTTGTTCCCAGACAGCACAGCAGCCAGAACTGGTGACAGCTCATCCAGGAAATTCTGCTGATGAACCCATACAATGTTTGAAGAATACTTCTTACACGTTTTATTGACTGAATCAATATGGAAATCTGCATGTTTTCTGTAACTGAAAGCTTCCACACGCATACATTTACTGAACATAATAAAGTTTGAGATAACTTCTTTGAAGGTTCTCTTGAGATTAACTAGGGTCCAACAGAAGGTTCCTGCTTTCCTAACAAATTGAAATACTCAAGCCACTGCTGGCCTGGGGCTTTTTCTGTTTCGTTTTCCCTCTGCATCACCCCACTTCCCGTGGAGCCACAAATGGCCAGGCCCGTTCCCAGGTTCCTGGAGCCATGCAATACGAGTCTCTAGGCTCTTTTCCAGATCGTAACTTTTATCTGCCTAAACAACTTTTAATCTGCTTAAATCCACCCTGTTAACCTGCAGCTCACAGGTGTGGGGAAGAGAAAAAAAAAGGGGATTTCTGAGGTCTAGTGAGCAGCTCTGTGGCAACTCGGGAATAATACATAGCTCTGTGAAATTCCTCCTCTCTGCCCTCGCCACCAGGCAGACCTTTCTAGGGAATTATACCACTATGGCTTAGAGCCTCTGGGATTCACGAGAGTGTTTAATAATGCCTGAAGGCTCAGAGCTGGTAAAAGTGCAGGGCTGGAGGAGATGTCACTAGGTGTTCAGGAGAGATGGGGACAAAGCAACCCTTATTTGGAGGCACTGCTAGTTTGCTGGATGGGACCCGTGCTGAGATGCGCTCCGGGTTGGCAGGTGGCACACCGCACCAAGGGGGTGACATTCGGAAGCACAGA